ATATAATGTAGAATAAAAGAAAAGAAAGAAATATGTTACTCTACATATGTTAATTGTTCTTCGGTTATTTCGTTGCGTGCAATACATCACTGCAGAATGCATTTTCGCATAATCCCGTTTCACGTATATTGAGTTTTATATTTTCAGTTTTATGCATTAATTTTAAAATTTACAGAAACTCGACTCCCTCATAGTAAAGAAGTATACTCTTAAGTACACTGCGGGAGTATAGAATTAAATAAAAAATAAATATAAATAATACTGTAAAATGCTTATATCGTATAATAAGTACTAACACTCTCCGCAACTGTTCGCGATAATACTAAGTACTTTATTACCGAATTACTCACGACATATCAAAAGAAAACTGAGAATTAGTTCGCAAAGACAATTTTTCCTACAAATGTATGAAACAAATCACCGAGAAAGAAAACTTTTTACTGTAGATAATAGAATGTTTTATAATTTACAAACTATATTCTATTATAGTTGATATCTATATTATAGTAGAAGTGTCTAACATTGGACATAGTTGTCATAGGTTTCTCATCTAAATACGAATTTTTTGTGCCTAAACTACGACCTATTTGCAATCAAAATCACTTCGTAATTTCACTTGAAATACTGTATTAGTGGATGGCATAATGATTTTTAAGATAGTTAAAGGATAATGAATTTTTTTGTTTAAGTCGGTGGCGTTATTACTCGAAGTGTACTCACTGAAATGCATTTAGAATTAATAGCTATTATTATCGTGTTTCTTAAACGCTATTGCGAAGTGTTCTCATGTTGGCTCAACGTATTGCTACCGGTTACTTTACCTTTCATTTTATAATTCCTATCACTTTTTATGGAGCGACGATACACTCCCTTTTATTCGATACTCGAGATATTTCTCGTTTTTTTTCTTTGTTTTTTAATAATTCAGTCAAGTTGTTATTGCGTTTTCGAGGAACGCTTTCTATTTTCATTGCAGAATTACAGAACTAAATGCATATATTGTATCCCGTATATATTTTTATCCCCTGACCAAATATTAATTTTACAATTGT